TGTCCATTTGAAAAATTTGATGATACTATATCTCTTTCACTATTTGGTGACACAACACTTCTGTTAGGTTTTGAAGGACTTACAGGCACATCTAAATTTGTAGTGCTTCTACTATTTTCATGTATCTCGGGTTCATCTATAACTTCATTCTCATAGTTGTTTTGTATTGCAAATTCTTCCTGATTAGTTCCTTTAAGAAGGTCTCTTCTGTTCCTTTCTACAATTCTTCCATCTGTTCTTATAATCCTATATGAACGCGGTCTTTCTGCTTCTTCTATAATTTTCCCTCTTTCATTTAGTTTTCTCCCTTTCTCTTTTATGTAAACATGATCTCCTGTTTTCAGTGGTTTTAATGGTCTTGCATTCCTATCATAATCACTTTTTTGTAAGGTTTGTCTCTTCAGTAAATGTTGTTTATGGTCTTCATATCATTTAGCTTGGACGAAATTCTCTTTTATAGGCATCAATCCATTTATTTTTCTTCCAAACATCAATTCTGAAGGTGACTTAACTTCATCTGAAATAGGAGAGTTACGATATTCCAGTAATACTAAATATGGATCCTTGTTGTCAACTACAGCTTTTTCTAACATTTCGCTTGACAAGTTTGAATATGTCTTTCAACCATTCCATTAGATTGTGAGTAATTTGGACTTGAACGTTCTGGTTTCAAAATTCCATCTTCTTGCAAAATTATTTTATATTTCCTGCAATTATATTGTGGCCCCATTATCCGAATATACTATTTTCGGAATACCATTGTCTTGCAAAAATTTGATTTCAATTGCTTTATCACTGCTACACTTGACAAATCTTCCAAATGTCCAATTTCAACATATTTGCTAAAATAATCTATAACTATTAGATAATCTTTTCCTTGAAAGTAAAAGAGATCTGTTCCCAATACTTCCCATGGACCATTAAGGAACTTCATTCAGATATCATTGGTTCTTTAGTATTAGCTTATTTGTAAACTTAAACATGTTTGACAATTCAGTAACCAAATCTTCAATTTCTTTCGACATTCCTGGCCAATATAATATTTCTCTTGCTTTGATCTTGCATTTTACTACTCCTAAATAACCATAATGAATTCTGCTTAACATATCTTTTCATAAACTTCTTGGTACAACAACACAGGAATTTTTAAATATTAATCCATTTGCTTCTGATAGTTCTTCTTTAAAGTTAAAATATGGTTTTTCCAGTTCTGGAACCATACATTTTTCATCTGGCCATCCAGTTTTAATTAATTTTTTTAAAACTTGTAGTTCTTCATCTTTTTCTGTTTCCAGTTGAAAAACTTCCATTTTACCATTAGACATTGGTATACATTCTACAACCAGTCCCACATGAGCTTCTATATCTCCTTCAAAGAAATCAGATCCTTCATCAGTGAATGATCTTGATAATGCATCTGCTATAAAAAGTTCTTTTCCTGGTTTATATTTTATCTCAAACTGATATGGCTAAAGTTTCCTTTTCAATTTGAGCATAATTCTTCTGTGTATCTGTTAATGCCTTAGATGGATATGCCACTGGTAAATTATTCTGCAGTAAGACTGCTCCTAGTCTTTCTTGAAATGCATCTACAGATAAAACTACTGGCATCTTTATATCATAATACTGTAAAACTGGTTTATTTACTAAGACATCTTTTAGTCTTCTAAATGCTTTTTCATGTGTTGCATTCCAGTTCCAGATAACTTGTTTTTTCAACAAATCTCTTAAACATGATGTCAATTCTGATTACATTAGGTATAAATCTAGAAACATATGTAATCATTCCTAGGAAAGTTTCTAATTCTTTCACATTTTTTGGTGGATTTATATCTAGAATAGCCTTAATTTTGTCTTCATCTGGTTTTTAAACCATCTTTAGAAAATATATGACCCATATATTTCACTTCATTCAGCCCAAATTTTACATTTATTTAAATTAAATTTAAACATTCTTTTCTCTGGCTCTGTCCAACAAACTTCTTTAATCTTGAATCATGTTCTTTTTTTATCTTTACCCCAAACTAATAAGTCATCTATATATATTGAACTCCTTCTAAATCACTAAAAAATTTCAGAAAAACTTCTGTGGAAAACTTCTGGTGATGAACTCAGTCCATATGGCAACCTCAAAAAAACAATATCTACCAAACGGAGTGTTAAATGTAGTAAATTCACAACTTGAATCTGACAGTTTAATTTGCCAAAATGCTTTGTTTGCATCTAAAATACTAAAGACCTTTGCATTTGTCATTTGAGATGAAATTTCTTCAAATGTTTGGTATGTGATAATGTTCTCACAGTATATTTTGGATTAAGGTGCTGAGGATCTAAACACACTCTTAAATTACCATCCTTTTTCCTTACTACCACTAATGAATTCACGAATTCTGTTGGTTGGTTAACTTTTCTTTATAATACCATCTTTTTCCATTCTTGCTAATTCCTTTTTTAATGGATTTAATAAGCTAAGTGGAATTTTTCCTACAGGGTTCTATTTTACCAACAAGCTCCTGGTTTTAATTTAATATGATATGTATATCAGTTAAATTCCCAGTTCCTTTAAAGCAAATCTTGATATCCTTTTAAAGATTCTGGTAACTTTTCATTGGAATCAGATTTACTGTACAAATCCTTTGTATTAGGTTTAATTTTTGCAATGTAGGTAAACCTAAAATAGCTGGAACAGTTTTATCACATGCTATTTTATACAACTTGAAATTCTATTTCATCCTTGTCCCTTTCGATGTTTCACATAATAATTTACATTTTCCAACTACATCAATGAGTACCATTGTAATTTTATCCTACCGGCGCCTGGTTGTATTTATACGGGTTGGGGCTTGCTCAGTGATGATTACAAGATGTACAAAAACTCGTTTATTCTACATTGCTCTCTACTTCTATATTACAGTTATGATTAAAGATAATAGATATTTACATATAAAACAGGTGAAGGCGATTGCTAATTTTTCATCTTGCCTGCTTCTAAAAATACCTAATGTCTCTACAACTAAATTAAAAAGCAGCACACCCATAAAAACATTATCTTATGTGCACATGAAAACAGTTTCACCTTAAAAAAAAAAAAAAAAAAAAAAAAGAGGAAGAACTGCAGAATGAACAAACGAAAAAAAAAAAAAATCCACACACTAATCACAACAGAAACCATAAACATGACCCTTGAATTTCAAAACTACGTGCAATATCACCAGCACCGAGATAGATGGTGGCATTACATGCTGTGCTATGCTATTAGTGGGCAGCTAGAAAAATACATTTCCATAAAATTACAGGTTGCCTACTTTGGCAACATAGCATTTTGCCTGGTTATTCTTGTCAGGGTTGGGTGGATAATGCAAGAGTATTTTTTCTATACCTTAGTGTGAATAGTCAATATATACTAGTCATCAAAATTAAAGGATAATGAGTAAAAGTATGCTCATTAAATTAAAAGTTACAACCACTGTCCAATGCTGCAATTATTTATGTTAATTAAATACAAATGAATAAAAAATTGCACTTCCACACATATGTTAGCACTGGAAATATGCGAAGTCGGTGATCGACATTGTGGTGAGCAATACATGGATGTTGGAATTCTGGTCTGTAGTGTTGTTTAAAGTGAATGTGGGTTCTGAGTGATCAGTATTCGTTAGTTATGGCTCAAGGGCATAATTTAAGTGAAGGTCAAAAGTGGGGAATAATTGGTAGAGTCGATGGAGGTCAAACCCAAATGGAGGTGGCCCAAGATTTAAATACCTCTTAAAGTGTCATATCAAGAGTTTGGAGCTACGTTATCAGTTGATAGACAGCCTGGGAAAGGGTGACCAATAGCAACAACTGCATCAGAACAAGGTTTTCTGTAATGGTCGGTTTGAAGAAATGGCGAAGCGACTACATGAGATTTGGTTTAGGTTGCCACAGGCACTCGAATTAGCTGTTCTGCTGCTGCAGGAAGGCTTAGTGATGTTGAATGTATATGACAAAATCATTGGTTTGTATCTCACTCACTCCAGTTTCCAGGGGGGCCGTTTAAACTCGTGCCGTCAACATGTTCGAAGGAGCCAAGAAAAATGGGCCGAAGTATTATTTACTCACAAGTCCAGACAAAGTCTGAACAATGATTATACACATGTTTTAATCTGGAGAAAGGAACATACAACTTGCCTTCCCTTGTCTGTGAAACATTCCATTTTCGCGACTGCGGTTTAATGGTTTGGGAAGGAATCATGACAAATGACCATACTGAACTGTATATCTTTTAAGGAAGTTCTGTCACTGCTTGGAGATACATGGACAAAATACTTTAGAACCTCAAGTTAAGACTGTTTAGGGATGCTATTGGCCCACAGTTTTCGCTAATGGATCACAATGTTTGGCCTCACCGAACATAAGTGGCATCAAAATACTTGCAAACAGAATATAACATTCAAATGGACTGGCCATCTTACTCACCCGAGTGAGCATGTGTGGGATTCCTTAGGGTGACAAATTCCTCCCTGGACTCTTCAGAAGCTGAAAAGTGAACTTTTAGAAGAGTGATGTGCTATTCCTCAAAACTTGATTAACACTTTGATATAGTCTATGAAATCAAAACGTGAGGTATGCATATCTGTCTGAGGTGACCATATTAAAGTAAAAATTTAAAATGTGAGGTATGAATATCTGTATCAGGTGACCATCAGGTAACCAAATTAAAGTAAAAATTTCTCCACAAGAGATGAATTAATTTTCCCATCATTTTCCAATTTCTATAAATTTGGTTTTAATTTTAATATTTTGCGAATAATCAACAACCAAACATAATAATTTATGTTAACTAAAGCTTTAGTACAAATTCCTATTAATATTTTTTCATTAAGTATGAGTTATTATCTTTTAATTTTGATGACAAGTGTATTATTTAAAGTATACAGAATATATATATATTCAATTAAAAAAAATTACAGTACGCTCATCATGAAATAGTAATGAACTCCAGTTTAAAAATACTTCACCTGAAAGCTTTGTAAAGAGGCCTGAACCAGCACACAAACGACAGTGGTGTAAACAACAAAAATGCCAAAAGCGCAAATCCAAATAATGTAGCAGTACCTCCACCAGAAATCAGAACAGCTAAGGCAGCTAACATATTCAGACACATAACACAAGCATAATCTAAAAAAAGAGGAACATATATGTTTATCATAATTTGTATTTAAAAGGATAATTTCAAATATATTAAATTTTACAATTCTCATTAATAATTGCAATAGAAAAATGCTTCATATTCATGTGTAATTATATCAAATATTGTCATAGATGTTAAAAAGTTAAGTAATTATATTTCAGATCAATGAAAATAAAATTTAAAGAAAAGGAGTTGAGTGAAAAAAGTGATAATAAATAACTTACAAATCCAAAGATAGTACATGGTCTTTACTAGTTTCTGAAATTCTAATGGAATATCTACAGCAATATCTTGATAAAAACAAGGCCCAACACAGAATGATTTTGGAAGAGGTGGCCAGTTGTTGGCCCTTGCTGTAACAATAAATACATCAGTTAAAATGCAACCATGTTAATTCAAGATTTTACTAATTTACCACTAATTAAAAAAATCTGATGTGGACACTATATGACTTACTTGTATGACCTTTTAAGTTATACACACTTTTTGTTGCATTTAACCTTTTGAAGACGGGATGGCCATTATAGTGGCCATAGAGTCCTCTTTTTGAAAGGACGGGGTTGTCCACTTTAGTGGCCATGTTTTTTTCCCCCATTTTCCAGGCTGAAAAGTGGGGTGAAATGTCAAATTTGACGTCCCTGGGGTTTTAACCACCTTTCTCTTTCAAGTCTTTCTTTTGCGACATAGATACCTCTCTGAGAATACATTAACTACACACACAATCTGTGTGCAAATGAGGGATTCTTAAAGGGGGGAAAGCATTCGGTTCAAGATTCCTTTGGTAGCTTTTACTGCTACCAAGCCCCGGCTTCAAAAGGTTAATTAAACTCATTTCCTCGAATGTAATCAGAGATATTCCTCATTCAATTAACTCAGTTCTCACTTCGTGGCAACGCAAAAATACATAAAACACCAAATACAGTCAAAACAGTTTTTTACAATTAAAATTAGTTTCTAAGGAAAAACAAGGAATTCAGTCAGTGGTCAAGAAGGCAGATTTTTTGGTGCAAAAACTGAAAATTTCCTTTGGTCCCACTTCGCAAAAAGGACATTGAAGGTGCAGAAACAATTCATAATTCTAATTTTCAAATGTAAACAAATGGTGGTTCATCAGGCTTAACTCAGAACTTAAACTTTTAAATTGTTGATAATTCTATAACTGTTGCAAGCAGATTAAGAAAAGGCATAAAAATCGTAACTGGAACATAAAAAACCACATAATTCAATGACTTTTAAAGCAAAAAATGCAAACTTACCAACATATAAGAATAAAAAACTAAGCTCACCGAGCCAGGTAACAGAGTGGGAATATATATATATTTAAATACGACTGGTGCAGCTGATTCCAAAGAAAAAGGGAGGTGCAAAACGACATGTTATAGCAGTTCCATATATAAAATTTAAACATTCTACACCTACTCGTTCTTGAGTTATGCGAGATACATATATACATACAGACATCACGAAAAAATCTCTTCTGAATCCATTTTACAATCCTTTTTGGAAAAAACAGTCTTTTATTCTGTTTGTGCATGCAGATATCAAGCAAAAACATCATTCAGATGGTTTTAAGAATAGTTGAAATATGATACCCAAAATGTTTCGTGATTACAATACTTCCTTTACTTCGCACCAGGAAGTAAAAAAATCCAATGATATATAAATTAAAATGTTACTTCATAATCTTATGGCTCATTTGAATAATATTAGCACACTTTTTTAGTTTAATATATACTTCAATCCTTTGGTAATTAAAAGTATAAGAACACAACCTCTTCAGCAAGCAATAGTTTATGGAAAGCATGGATACTTCTATTCATAACATTAACATACTAAACAGCACTAATATTTGACACAGTTTTTTATAGGTCTATTTATTGCTTGAGAAAAGTATATAATTTTCCACTTATTTTCTCTTCCAAAAATGTTTATTAATTTACTCTGAAATCAATCAGCGAAAACCATTCTCGTCATGAAAATGACATACAAACCTATCATCCCTGAAAAATATTTAGCTTTACATTAATGCTGTAAATATTGAACTCTTTCATAAAGACTCTCAAAAGCTTAGCTCAGAACTGCTTACATACTGGAGTTCATGCTTCAAAGGCAAAGAGCTGTCATGTTAGTCAAAAAAAAAAAAAAAAAAAAAAAAAAAAAAAAAAAAAAAAAACACTTTCGTTCAAAACTTTAAACATCTTTCGATTGCCACATGCAAAAAACCAAACTTTTTTTTTAAAAAAAGGATATAGTATATAAAAAGGAGATTAAAAAAAATCTGAAATGTTTCAGATTTAATTACGTCAAAGGGGCGTTTTAACATTTTGTGTGTTACATTTCTTATACATATCATGTCCTCGCACTTAACCTAGATCCAGTGCAACGCATATCGAAAATTTTTAAAACAGTATCTTTAAATTTCCGATACAGAGCTCACGCGCTGGAGATAAAATGTTTTTCTGCACAATGTTGCCATTCTCGCTTTGAAATCCTTGAGTTTGTTAATCAAAATTCGTCAATCTTTAAAAATGGGAAATCGATCATAACAAATTTCAAATTGGCTTCCACATGCTCATTATTCGTGGAGGATTACTTTTCAAATTGGATGCGCTATTTACCTTTTTTTATGACAATGCGAAAATATACATACATTTACGCAGATTTTCATTATTTATTTCTTCAATATAATCAGTATTAACGTTTTTGGCAACAGTTTGAAAAGGAACCGATATTTATCCTCCGACGCAATCCAAAAACTCAACGATAGTCTTCGGGATTCAAATTCCCTTTGGACTAAAAAAAAAAAAAAAAAAAAAAAAAAAATTTTACATATTGTTTGTTAATTATTTTGGTTCTGATGTATTATCTCGTCACCAGTCAAAGTTCATGGAGATCCTACTCAAGCTATGAGATGAGGACTGAGCAGGCATAATGTAGCCTTCTACTCTCCATACAGTTTTCAATAAAAGAGGATGCACCAACATGTCCTGCTGCTTTTGAACGATTTGTAAATACAGGACTGTAACTAACGTATTTGTGCCTATGCTAAAAAAAGGTTGTTTATACACAAACTTGTTGGTATCTCTTTTCCCAAGATTTTGGGATACATCAAGATGCCAAATCTGAGCATCATCGCGAGATGAAATTTTGAAATGCTTTTTTACCACATGGGTACTGAAATTTATCATGTGATATTTCTGAATTAGTGAGCAAACCCTGAGAGAGAAATAAGGCATACAGTACAGTTGGGCCTAAAACGAGAATATGTATCTGTCATCAAGAAAAGAAACCTGATTTGGATAATCAGTAAGAGACAAAACATTGAAATTAAAGCAAAAAGACAAGTGCTCACTCTTTAACTAAAGCGATGGCTCATAGTAATCAACACTAAGACTCTGGACTAGTGAAGTCCTCAATCTTTTGAGGCACAGACAAAGAGCATGATGATGAAAAGGATCTAGTTTTAAAGGCCATGGAGAATTACAGTCAAAAGTCTCGGACTTTTAACTGTAGTTTGGACTCGTCAAGACTTTGGCGATTCCGGATTATCATTTTTTCCAGATTATAGATCATGAGTTTAAATCTGGTAAGATGGCATGCAGAATTATCCATTAAAAATATTAAACTAATTATTTAATAAAGGCAATTAGATATAAAGGGTATCAAAATTGACAAAAAAAAAGAGCTTAATTTATGTGTTTACTTCTTAAACATTCTTTCACAGCGCATGCGTACGCTAATACGCATATGATAGCAAATGCACCAGAAAACTATTTGATGGTATTCGTGATATTATAATGACGGATTTGATTACATCATATCAAAGATGGAGTAGGAGTGAAACACTAAATTTAGTAAGAAATTATAAGCCGAATAAAATAAAAACATCTGCTCTGAAGATAAGGATAGTGCTGACAGATCAACTTCCAGTTCATTGCATGCCGCAATGCTTCCCAAGCCACTGACAGTAAGGACAAGTGACCATAGTGAGGACAGCTAAGTGGCTCCCATTTCAATCTGAAGCAGACGCCAAAGCAACGTGCTGGGTACTATACCTCGACCCTCAACTACCAGGACCCTCTTTTCCAGCCGCCTTATGGGTCACAACACACAGCAAATGCGTACATAGTTTTCTTTCCACAAGAAAATAGAAATAACCAGATTAAGAGTATCTTACTTTGAACTTCCAGCTCCGAAAAGGAAAAACTGCAAAGAAGGGAAAAATATGGGAAAAGATCAGATAAACAGAATTGAGAAGAAAGCAGAAAATATCACTAGAGCTCTAGGATCATGACCTCCATCTCAGTACGAGGCGGATACCTTGAAGGGCTAGGGTACATCATCTCCGTATCTGTACTCACACATAATGAGCTCCGGAGGGGGGGGGGCTTAGCAAGTAATGATGATGAAAACTGGAGACTCAGTCACATAGTGATACATCAACCAGGTTGCAAGCTAAAGAATGGGAAAACTTCCTATCAGCTGGAAATACGTTTTTGTTATAAAATTTCCTATTAATAGCTAATGCAAACTCAAAATGAAACCACATAGCTATTCAAGCCATTTCAAGTACCATTACCTTTACTTCAAAGCTTTCTGAAATATAACTGTAAATTTTCAATCAGTTTTTACTTTTTTTTATCACAATCTCTTGAAATACCGTAGGAAAATTTAAAATTGTGGACTATTCTATAAAAATTCATAACCTTTTTATTTTCACATCACAATCTTAATTTCATGCTATAGAAAATCATAATAATGAATGTTAATTCATCAAAAATAAATTTTGCAATGAATTAAATTCTTTTCCTTTTAATTATAGCATACATGTAAGCTTCATACTTCAGATATTAACTAAACACTAGCGGGCAAGCCCACCAGATGAGAGGGCTGCAGCTAAAGCAAAATTTATAAGTTCTATATACCCCTGAAAAGCAAATGCATGAAAACATTTCAATATGAAAGAAATCAGTTCATTCTTTCCAAGCAACAACCAATTTGTAATAATTTTTTTTACTGCCAGACCAGGAAACAAAAACTCTTGACACTTCAGATTAATACATATGATGTTAGGATTTAAATTTAATGTAATATAAACAGCATTTTCTCAATATTAATAAATAAATTAATGTGGCAATAATATGTTGTGTCAATTATAGTAACTTGAAACAAAAAAGTTGCCAACAACAGCTACTTATTTAAAATGCTGACATTAAAGAACAATTTTCGACATACAGTGATGTCACATGGAATTGCGTGCTTTCTTCAGCATCATAATATGACCTTATATCATAATAGTTTGTTTAATGTTTGAAAATGTTACTTTTATCTAAATTTTTGTAAAACTTTGAAAATTTTTTTTAAACAAACTCTACAATTTG